CTTCAATCAACGGAAAATTCGGACTGCAGCCATTCAAACATGTTTCGTATAATGACAACATCTGTTCTTGAGTCTTCAATTGCTAATTCAATTTGAGTGGCAGTCTCTTCGTCTGATTCGTCTGCCATATTATGTTCACTAGCATGAATATTGCAATGGACGACCTTATGTTTTTTCATTGCCGCCTGTGATGGGAAATATGTACAGCAGAAACATATTCTCGTGGAAATTCTTCCAGCCACCGATGGACAATAGGGATCAAAAGGCATGCTACTGTAACTGTGATCGGGGAGTAAATTTGCAGTAAATTAATGCAAAACTGCTGCACTCAAAAAAACACTACAATGTGGACATCCACTTTGTCCTAAACCCCCTCCCCCCCTTTGTCCACTTTAGTCCACGTTTTGCTGAACCCCCCCTCCCCCCTTTTGTGTGGACGTCTTTTATGGATGACCCCTTACACATAATACTAGTGACCAAAACATGAAATTGGTAATTGATCAGTTGATGAACAACCAGCCCCGCCCCCAGCTTAAGTCCACATCCACATGCATTATTTTTTAGGCTTACCATAGTTAAACCCAGATGGAAATATGAGACAAATGTTTGGTAAATTTTCCATTCACCATTATAAATTTTAGTACATACAAGGATACAGTGCAATATTTTCTAAATAGCAACAGATTGTTTAGCTCCATAACCTTACTCGAAGTTGTAACACAATTTGTACACTTTTGTTTTGTAACTTTAGATTAAAAACCTACTGGGGGCTCCTCAAGATGTCTGCCACAGCAGTCTTGGCTATGAGGAAGGAAAAGGGATAAAATCCCTGCTGCTTTCTGCAATAGGGTTAAAGGTAGGAGGGTCAAAAAGCATCATGAGATGATATTAAACTAGCTTTGATCAAGTGCATATTTTGTCCAACCAGGATTTTATTATCTCTGGATCTGCCACCAAGTTGTAAGTACAGGTAGTAGTTAATCTAATTGACAGACAGAAGAATCCTGGAGGTTGCTTTTATTTCGCTTGGTTCCCTTTTATTACTTTTAAAAATAACTTTATATTGTATACACAGTTATCTCCATATGTGATATTTTTAATTAAATGTACTACAAATATGTGCTTCTTACTTGTCAACCAAACTTTTTACTTCCATAGATTGTGTCAACCACAAAAGCTGCAACAGAATTTATGAAGAAATCCTTGCTCCACATCCAGGCAGGGTGTCTTGGAGCAGACATTGCCAATCTGACCCGGGAAGCACTCCAGTGCTTGATAAATCAGGAGCTAGTTGTCCAGATGAGGGGAAATGATGAGAACAGTTTGCTCCAGGTTACTTCATTAGGAAATGCCACATTCAAAGGTTAACAGCTGAGAACAAATAGCCTGTCATTATTTATTACAAATTTTGAGTGTTATACAACACAGATCCCCCAAAATTGTTTGAGTTGTGAAATTGTCTTATAGAGGCAAAGTGACCTATGACCCTAAAATGTGATAAATGGCTTTTTTAACCCTACCAGCCCTGAACCTAACTTTCCCCTATACCTGGGCTCCTGAGCATTAAAGAGAAAAAACCTACATGATATTGAAAAATGTTAGTTACATGCAAACAAATGGTTGGAATAAGGTGGAACTTTGAGACATTGTAGTAAATAGGTCTACCTTTCATCTAGTGACCATATTCCACCTTTGTGTGACAATCCACACAGCAGGATAAGCCTTGTTTCACACAGAGGTGCTTCTTGAAAAGTGAGCACCAGATGTTGCTCTTCAGGCTTTTTGGATGGATTGTTTTAGTAAAACACTCCAGGATTTTGGTTACCTTGAGTACTTTTCCATGCATACAACACAGATATTATTAGATGATATCCCAGGAGCAATCTCTGGAAAGTGATTAAATGGGGTCATCTGGTTCGGGCAGGATTCTTTCCTGGGTGGCGGTGGGCTGTGATAACCCTAGACCTACTTCACTTTCCTGTTGAAGTGCTTGATTCATCAGCCACTTATTTCATTGTGAATTTTCAGAATTTGTTTAAATCAAGCAACGCAAAGTCGATTAAAAAACATGGGCCAATGCAACTCTCAGAAGTGTTTTAGCATGGTCAAATTTGCTTTTGGGGAAAATGCGAGCCGCATTATTCTGTACTTTTTAAATTTTATCTGGGAGTGTAGCTGGAAGACCCACCATGAGAGCATTGCAGTAGTCTATGCGTGATAGCACAAATGCAGACATTAGCCTCTTTGTTGCATCACACGTTAAGAAAGGTCTAATATGACCAATTCTGCGCAACTCTAGAAAAATCGCCTTCCAAATCTTGTTAATGTGATTTTCCATACTGCATATAGTTTTCTGTCTAAATAGACACACAGGTTTCACACTGTTTGAATTCAATATGTATACATGAGAGAGAAAGGGGTGGTGTGTTATTTACAGATTTTAGCTTTCGAACGGTAGCAATGGGGATCAGATCGGTTTTTTTCATCGTTCAATTTGAGCTTGTTTATGTTCATCCAGTGCTTAACTGACTCCACTGTCTTCTGTGTCATGCTAAGAAGCTGAGGGAACTGAGAGAGGGTCACGGATTGCTGAAGTTGGCTGAACGTACATAGTGAAATGGATCGGACCTAGGACCTAGCCCTGGGGTACTCGGAATTCAATAATTTGTTTCGAGGTCAAGCCATTTGCAATAACTGATTGGACCCAATTAGTCAGATACGAGCCAAACATCTCAGTGTTGTGATAGGAATTATTTTGTCTTTAGTTGGGTAAAAATAGGGAATTTTGTTTTTAAAAAAGAGTGGGAACCCTGTATCAAAGAACATCAGTTAACCTCACCTCATCACCAAATTTATGGAAGGAAATGGGAGTATGATTATTAAAAATATTATTCAAACTTTAAGACATTGATTGCTATAAAATTATATTTTTTTTTACCTAGTCTTTAGCTTTAATGGAATGTATTTTTAACCTCAGGTTGTATTGATCTTACGTATTGTGGACAGCTATATAAAGACTTAAAAGAAAACCAGTCGAAAATGAATCTGGTCAATTCATTTCACTTGATTTGTCTCATTACTCCTTATGACATTGCTGCCTCAGTGGTGCCAGACTGGAGAATATACTTAAATGAGGTAATAAAAAAAGGAAGATGATATGAAATATATATATATATTTAAATCTATCCAGAGAGTTATCAATTATTATCATATTATTAAAAACAGAATTCTAACAAATAATTGTTTTATCCTATTCTAAAAAACACCCCCCCCCACCACACTCACACTTCACCCATGTCACATTTTGGTGATTAGTACCGGTAATGCACATAATCTGAAGTCCTTGTCAGACCTGTTTACTCTTACGATTTTGGCGTACAATGTACGATTTTGAGGTGTATACATTATACATACTGCATCTTTATTTTTTACTATTAAGATAATGTATTGAACGATTTTGTGATGATATTGTACGATTTTTAGAGTTTAGGGGTAAACAGGTCTGCCTTGTTCACAAATTCCAAAGATTTGATGCCTTCTGCATCTGTAATGCAATACATATTTGTATGATAGATCAATGAACTTATTTTTTGTTCAATATTAAATAATTGTAGAAGTGTCCCTCATGCTCATAAGTCCCCCAATACAAATTCTACCTTAAATTTGTTTTTTTCCAAATTATAAAAGTGTATTCTTCCATAATTTTTTATGAATTTTATCAAAATGTTCAAAGTATGTTCTGCCTGTTTAGAGTTTAGATTAAAAACTGTTGTAACAATAAGGCATAATGGGTAATGAATATCAGTAGAGAAAATAAATTCCTAAGCTAAAATACTATAAATATAAATGCATAAAATGTTTGAAAAAGAAACTATTTTGACATTAATTTTTGGGTACATGAATTGTGACAAACATAACTATTTAGACATTTTAACAATTCATATTTTTTTGTTAGCTAAATCTCATTAAGAAAATTATAAGATACCGGTACTTTGTTTAAACTGTTCTACAAATAAAACAAGTTAAGTTTTTTATTATTTTTTTTCCCATGGGATTTCCAGTTGAGCATAACATGTCAAACTATATATTAATAATTAACTATATTTGCTCCTAGTACTACAAATTATCAGAAATTGATCTGAAAACAGCTCAAGCCATAGGGGTGCATGAGCAATACCTCTGCTTGAGAGAGGCTGGCTTTGGGCACAGACCTAGCTCAGTGAGTCCTTTTAATCTTTTTAAATGGAAAGCTCATTCTTTAACAGTAATTACTTTCACTTGAATGAGATCTAAAAGATTTAATTATGTACAATGTTTTAATTTTAAATTCTAGATTTATGTTATACTATACATAAATATATACATAAATATATATATATATATAAATATATATATATATATATATATATATATTTACATATATATATATNATATATATATATATATATATACACTTTTCTTTTCCATTTAAGTGCCATGGTATGGTTAGAGACTTAGATTGTAAATTATTTTTGTGTTATTTCATATAATAATGTGACAAAAGTCAAGAAGTTTAAAGAGGAGGTATCTTCTCTTTATAAGGCTAGCACTATCTATATAAAGCTTTGCTGCACAAATCTATTTTGATTAAAACCATGAAACTTCTAATCTATATTGGAACTGTCTGCATATTTTTCTGTTTTGCTCTAGGAAGTCTCTGAGCTGACGATCAAGCGTTTCTATATTTCCTTGATGCTATGGAAATTGTGGAGCCATAACTCTGAATGGGACGTGGCGAACGCTTTTTTTCAAAAGCGTAGTTTTATTCAGAATATGCGCTCCCTAACTGTAGCTAATGCTTCAGGCGTTTTTCATTTCTGCAAGGTATAAGATAAAGATTTTTTCATTATATATAATACTGGAAAGTTATCAAATTAAGTGTGAAGTGACATTGCTCTTTTATGTAAATTTATTTGTGGATGGTATTTACATTAAATAACTAATTTAGCAGGTGTTGGGGGTGGGAAGATTGACCATTGTTTGGGCGCTGAGCCCTGAGGCTAGTCTTGATTACTAAAATTGCTACTTGTATAAAACATTCAATTAAAAAACATTTTTAAAATTTCTTTTGTCCAGGAGTTAGAAGAGTTCTGGTACTACCAAGTCTGCCTTGAGAAGTTTATTACAAATGTAGCTCATTGTGTGAGCATAGACTTGAGACCACTAATGGAAATCCCTGGCATTGAATTGGTAAGCTGCTAATTGTTATTTTTTTAAAAATACTGTTCTTGTATTATATGCCAGATATTTATTTGCACTACATTTTTCAGTATGGTATTGATACATATTACCATCTTTTTCCCCCATTTCACTTATGTACAATTCTGCTCCTTACCAAATTAAAACTTTTCAGAAATAGTTTTTGTATGGTCTGAAATTTTATGACTAAAAACGGATTTAAAAAAATGCAATGGGAATTGCAATGTAAAGTTTAATTGAACCTAATTATAAAGATGTTACAGAAAATAATACAATTATTTGTGATTGTCATCATTTTTTTTTAAGAATTAAAATTTAATATGTTTAAATAACTTAATTAACAATAATGTGTACCTTCATTTATAACATTATTAAAGTTTGGGGGATAAAAGTAAAAATCTGGGTTATATAAGCATTTTAACTATATGCTAATAGTGATGCCAACTGCCTATTGCATCTGTGTAAATCTTCCCATTGCTGATGGCATACATTTGACACATCTTCATTTAACAGGGAACAGCAAAACGCTTGCATGCAGCTGGGTACAAGAGTATTGGAGCCGTTGGTTCTGCTGATGTAAAGATGCTTGTCCACAAGATGAAGGATGTTTCCGAGCATGCAGCTCAACAAATTATTGCAGCAGCCAAGGTGATTCATTTTTAAACAATAAAACAGATACTATATGTCATTTAAGGGGATGGGGTGAAAACTTAGTATCAGCAAATACACTGCTATTAACAAACTGTTAAAAAACTAATCATAGTAAAATAAATAACCATTTTTAAAAAATAAAGTAATAATTATTTTTGTTAAAAATTTAACTAAAAGCCTTTGTTGTGTTTAAGTATCACTTAAATGTCTTTTAAAATTAGATCAGTTTCAAAATGCAGATGTATGGGCTCAGTTAAAATATTTTTTCCTATTAAAGTTTTTGATCATTACAATTTTCTTGGCTTATTTTTATGAACCATTTATTTACAGAGCAAGATTGCTGATAAAAAATTAGCTCTGCTCCAGAAGGTCAGGATTTTGGAAAGCGGGACAGATAATCTATCATCAACATAGTCAAAGTGCCAGTCTGTAACAATTTACAATTAGAAATCTTCATATTTATTGGTTCACAACATTGCCATTTTTATAATGATTTGCACCAATGTCCTTTGCTTTAATAGCAGCCCTTGAAACATTGTTGTTTAATTTTAGTTTTAAATATATATCTCCTCTAAAGTTATATAGATTTAACCCTCCCCCACCTTCCTCAGGAAAAAACATTAACCATTTAGACAGAGGGAGATATTACATTGTTTTTTTTAAACCCTTTATAGTCTGATGCACAAGAAATGTGCTATGTTTTCCTTAAGCCTACAGTCCATTGCAGACAAACCATCCCGTTTTGAGATTTTTTGATTTAATTCTTGGCACAGCGGAAATCCATTGCGCATTACTATTTATGGCTCTACCAGGAGAAAGCCTCTTTGGGGGCATTTATTTTGATACTAGTTTGACTGCAGTGTCTTTAGGGGCTCATTTACTACGATTTTTTTTTAAGTTGCTATTTTTTCACTGTAATAAAATGGCTTTCCAAGCCTTGTATAAAATTTTGAAAGAACTAAGGCCCAGTGAAGCTTCACTATTTCATGAGTCTAGCAGCGATAGTGAAGAATCTGATAGAGACATTAATTTAAATGATGCTACTAGTGATAGTGATTCAAGTGAAGAAGACAATAGTAATAGTAGAGACATCGAGGACAACTGACCACATACCTATCAATTCCTCTCCAACTGATCAGCTCGATCATGAGTGGTCAGGGGATTTTTCACAAATCAAAGTAGGAGGGTGCCCAAAACTATTTTAAGTGCATCTTTTTCTTAAATCATTTCCTTGAAATTTAGGTATTTTTTAAATTTTATGTTCCTGCTTCTAGTTCTAGTTTATTTTCTGTAAATTAATTAGATAAAGAACCTTCATTTAAAATGGAGCTATGTCCCCTTGCTTGGGCTCTGGAGTAGAAAAGGCTGAATAGGCTTGGACTGTGTTAAAAAATAGTTAGTCCTTTGTTTTGGTCACATTTTTTTTACCACAAAAACACTTTGTTAGAAGATTATTATGATTACTGATATTTGACAAATTTACTATAATTCCTGAGTTTAAAAATATATATTTTTTATTGCCTCCATCTTAGGCATATCATTTTTATAAAACTGTTTATTTTTAAATAATATGTTCAATTTAATTTCAATTTTTTATATCTTTTGGCATTACTAAATTGCTGCACGTGTTCTACCATTGTTATCTCACAACAATCTGTAACTATAGTCAATTTTCTATCATTTTGTTCAAAAATTTCATACCGTTTGAAATGAAAACGTTTGTTTTTTTTGGTTTTTTTCACAACTATTAATCTAATAGTTTATAAAACTGAACTGTTTAAGATTGTCTATTTTTGTTCCTTGATAAAGTTCTATAGGGAGTTGGGGCACAGTGGATCAGAAATCTTCTTTTTTTTAATATTCCAAAAGTTTTCACAGATATTTGAATGTTGAATGTGCACAATGATTGTATTACATCTTGGCCTTGGATAGGAATCCTTAAAATGTGGCTAAATATGATATTCTTGCCCACAGAGCGTTTCAAAGTGTGCAGGGGTAAGTGATTCACTGAGCCCCGGTACCGGGGCACAGTGAATCACTACCTGGGGCACAGTGAATCATTATCTCTGGCTTACTTAAAATTGACTTAAATTATAGTGAGGGTTGTGAATTTAATGCAATTATTGAACTGAATGTTATTTTTCATATGATAATCTTGTATAAACTCAAATATAAACTGTCATACAACCTACTTATTTTCTTTAAATATAGACTCATAGACACTGAAAAATGCAGGCAAACAATTTGTAAATGAATAATTTATTTATTTGTAACATTAAACAATTTAAATGATAAAATATAAAATGACAACAAAACAATAATTGCAAAAAATCAACATAGAAAATAGCCATTTCTGATAAATCAACATAAAAATTGAAATGGCGAGCAACTCGAGCCGTCCCTCCGTGGAGCAGAGGTCTGGGCAATTTGACTATTCTTCTTCATTATCAAAAATTTGGCAGCATTTATATTTTGGTGAAAATGATGTTTGGTCTAATCCAGATTGTAGTGGCCCTGAGTTGCCTTTTCCACATATCTGCGGAGACTTGAAAATTTAATGTTGGTGTCTTTGCTAACAGTTGTAATAGATTTTCCTTCCTCCAAAGCATTGTAGTAATGGTCTGGGCAACTTAACAATGATTCTTATTCAATTTAACAAATTTTGCAGCATTTATATTTTAGGTTGGCTTTTCTACATATCTGCGGAGACTTGAAAATTGAATGTTGGTGTCTTTGTCATCAGTCCCAAGAGATTTTCCTTCCTCCAAAACATGTTGTACGGCCTCCTTCATGGCTTCAGCTGTTGTGTAATCAACATTTCTATTTGACTCTCTGTTTCTAACCATTTTATCTGGAAGAGGAGAAAGAAAGGAACACAACTGAATTATTGAGAAATCGATTTATTAAAGAATAATTATTTAATTTTAAATATCTTATCTTCATCTTCACTGGTATTAAAATTTTAGGCCAAATTCATACTTTTTCTGATTTAAGTTATATTCCACAAACTTGCGTTTAACATATTATGTATGTCAATATTTTAAAATATTATTAAAGAGCATAAATGGGGCACATTGAATCAATAGCTTAAATGATCCACTGTGCCCCGATTCACTGTGCCCCGTGATAAAAAAAATTAAACAAATTTAATTTTCTGCTACATGGCTGGCTGCATAGGACTGGTAAATTGTTTTAATACATTCTACTAGGTCGCTAATGCTAATCAATTACATCGAATTTTTAAAATCTTAATAATAAAATCTGTGAAATAAAATTAGAGAAGGTCCTAAAATTTACTTTTGATGGTAAAAAACATACCTTACATTGTAAAATTTCAAATTGACGTTAGAACAAGCAATGCTGTATAAATAAAGTTCGCGGATGTAAATACGCAAATAATGATGACATAAGCAACAGAAATCTCCTGGTGATTTGGTAGAAAATACCACTGATTCACTGTGCCCCTTGATCCACTGTGCCCCAACTCCCCCTACTTTTATATTTATTTGTTTGAGATCCCGTTGGTCAAATTTTGTGGTATTTAATTGGTTGGTCGCAGTTTGCATCTTGGTTAGTCACATCAATTCCCAAAGTATATTAGATTATTTGATTGCTGCTGATTTTCTTTGCAATGTTTCGGTGGCTCTCCTGTGTAGAGAGGAATGACGTTTGGATGATGAGAGGCTTGGCTTGCTCAGTAAATGCCGTTTCACTTGTTGTTAGCTGAAAGATTTTTTGTTTTAAAGTCTGTCCATAAAGTGATACGCAGTGACCCTAACCGTAGCACATAAGTTTGATCAACTATAGTTGTGACTGTCAGTTTTTGGGATGTAACAGGTTACAACTACTGGATTTTAAACAGAAAAATTTCTGTTACCTCTACTACAACCAGGGGTGTTCCACGTAAGGGCCCTTCGACAAAGTTTTAAATTTCTGGAGGTGCAAATAGACACATTACTTTAAACATGCATTTTGCCCTTGAGGTCATGACCACATAAATGAAAATAAACACAAATGTCTTTACTTGACCACTATTTCTAACATTTTAAAGAATGTCACTGTGTTATATAGCAAAGTATTACATCTACTCAAGCTTAAAACACACATTTTCAATTCCAATTATAAAATCAAAATTTAAGACTCTTTTTTTTTTATGGTTTAAAAAGAAATTAACAAATTAATAAAAATTTAATTTTGCAGTTTTAAAATTTTATTGCCCCCTTAATAACTTAATTTGATTTTGATACATAATTTCATCATGTAACTTACATTTAATACACATTTTTAAGACTTTATTTTATGATTTTTATTCTTTCCTTCTTAGTCAATTAAGTTCCCAATGTCATATTTAAGTTTTAGGCGAGGTTCATTTCATGTGAATTTTTGTCAGATTATAATAAATAAAAATTCTGTACATAATCTTTACACCATTATAATACAGCCTACGTGATCATCTTTAGCAGTCAATACACTTAAGATGATGGCTTGATTTATTTTGTGTTTTTCAGTTGACTCATTCAGAGGCAATGAATAATAAATAAAATTAAAATGTTAATTGTTGGATTTTGTCCATGCAGCAACTCAGGAAGAGCCGATTGAAATATTCTTCAAATAGCTGATGTGTATATAATATATGTAAATGTCTGTTATAATTTTTTCATATTTTCCATCCATGTACAAATGGTGTCTAGAATATGTTAGCTGGTGGATCTATACAGTTAGCCTTACATAAGACATCCATTACTTGTCTCTGATTCACTGTTTTAATTCTGACCTAGTTGTTCCTGGTGGACTTTCAAACAAGAAGTAACACAAATAAATTAAGACATTTTAGCATTACTTGGTTTTATTTGTTTGTTTTAAGCCATGTCTTCAATGTCCTACTCCGAAATGCTCACTTGTATGTAAGCATTTATGTACCTGTATGTAACTATATAAAACAACATTTTTAAAACTGCATTGATATAAAGAATATAAATTGATGGTGCTAAAATATTGTTGAAGAGTGTTGT